TCCATATCTTCGCAGGATCCCTACAGAACAATGTAACTCTAATGGGGGGTTTAGGGTTTGAACATCTGTGCAGCAGGATCCTAGACGGAGATTCACTCATACATCCTTTGAGCCTCAGACGGAAAGCTTCTCAAGAATTGGACGCCCCCGTTCGTTCAGCGATGCCCTGCCACTTGCTTGGTTTTAGGAAACCCTCAACCCTAAACCCTAAACCCTCTAAAATCCCCAAACCCTAAACCCTGAACCCCCAACACCCTAAATTCCTCAACAGGCCTCGTTTAAATCCTGCAAGATTGAAAACACCAATAAGTAGCATAGGTTTTTTTTGGGGGGGGTTCCTTACTATAATTATCGAGAGTATACCCCAAACCCTATTCTATCTATTCAGGCCCCTAGACACGGGCTGAGGTTTCGGCTGTGGTGGTCGTTGTCGTCGTTGGCATGGCTGCGGCAGGGGGCACGACGGCCGCCTCGGCAAAGCCATAAGGGATCTACTTTAGGGATTAGGGTTCAGGGTTTGGGGGTAGAGTTAGTGCTTTGTTTCAAGTCAAAAAGGGCTTGGAGCTTTTGGTTTAGGGTCCAGCGTCTCGGGGTTTAGGACGGGTTTAAGTTTGCAGAGCGTCGGGTTGCAGGATGTAGGCTTGTGGCCTCTGTGGTTCAAGGCTGAGCCGCTATGTCTGTTGTAGGTTTGGAGTTATATGGCTAAGGCGAAAACCATACGGAGGTTGGGGATGTGGGGCAAAGCTGGAGGTGGAGAGTTTCGCATGTAGGGTTTCAGGGATTATGGCTTAGGAGTATGTGTTCAAGGGTTGCTACATCGCGTCGGGCATGGGGCGCGCGAGTGATTCTATTATACTGAGCAGCATGTGTCACAGGAGCAGGCTTGGCTTAACAGACAGTCCCATCGACGGACTCACACATCCTTGAACTAAGGCATGTCCCTTAAACCACAATATCAATAAAACCCAAACCTGTATTCCCAGAGACTCCAATACCCCTTAATTAAGGAATATACCATAAATCATAGTAGGACTCCTAATATGATTTAAGGTATGTTCCTTCATTAAGGGATATTGGAGTCTCTGGGTTTAAAGTCCTTGGGTGCCCCGAAGCTGCAATTCCGAAACCCTAACGAACGGTGGCTCCCGGCCCTAATTCCTAAATCACAAACATTGGGAACTGCCCCCATACAGGAACAGTCTACAATAGGGCTGCTATTACGGGCCTCATATACCCATATTATATACAACTGTTACTGAATGGGGGCAGTAACACCAACTCCAAATCTCTGAGAAAAAAGAACCCCCAGAGAATGAACTCCAAAAAGAGGACACCCCCAGCCTGTATAGACACGTTATAGGTCTAGAACCGTATATACAGGAACCCAGCTGTTCACAAATCCTAAATCCTAAACCCTAAGCTCCAAACCCTAAACCCTAAACCCCAAACCACCCGTCCTAAATCCTAAACCCCCCCAAACCCTGAGCCCCAAACCCTAAACCCCAAACCACCCGTGCTTTTTTAGGCTCTGAATCCTGGGAACAGGAGCGGTGCTTTGGCCTGCGTTCTTTCCGACTCGGCGGTGAAACGTGGGGATTGCTCTAATTGGGGCTTAGGGCTTAGGGCTTAGGGCTTAGGGTTTAGGGTTTAGGGTTTAGGGTTTAGGGTTCTGGGATTGTCGATAAGGGCTCTATAATAACTATAGAAACCCCAAACCCTAAACCCGAAGACCTTTACCCTAAAACCTAAGACCTAAACCCTAAACCTGATAGAGGTTTGGGGCCCAGCGTGTCTGCCTCAGGGTTTCTGGCTTGGGGGATGGGGTTCAAGGGTCTAGGGTTGCGGCTTCAAGTGTGTAGAACACCCGAAGAAACCCTAAATCCTAAACCCTAAACGAAGAAGTGTAGACGGCCAGCGCAATGCACCGCAGAACTCGGTCCAAATCTGACTGCGGCGCTTAGGGCTTTTGGGTTTGGGGGGCTTTGGGCGTAGAGGGTTTAGGGGCCCCTACCCCAAACCCTAAACCCTAAACCGTAAACCGTAAACCCTAAACCCTAAACCGGAAATGGCAGGGAGGGTAGGGTTGGGAACTCAGAACTTGGAGAAGCTCTTTGAGTTACCCCGAAGAGTCTTACAGAAGCATCTCCTTCTGAGGGTCCCCTGAACCCAAAAAGGCCCTAAACCCTGAACCCTAAACCCAAAACCCTAAACCCTGAACCCTCAACCCTGAACCCTCAAACCTAAACCCTAAACCCTGAACCCTAAACCCTGAACCCTGAACCCTAAACCCAAAACCCTAAACCCTGAACCCTGAACCTTAAACCCTCAAACCTAAACCCTAAACCCTAAACCCTGAACCCTGAACCCTGAACTCTGAACCCCCTGAAACCCTAAGGGTCTTTTGCAAGCATCTTCTTGGGAGGGTTTAGGGTGAGGCTGAATCATCTCCTTTGGAGGCCCCCCCGAGTCCCCCAGGGGGCGACGCTTTGGGTTTAGGGTTCAGGGCTCAGGGTTTAAGGTTTAGGGTTTAGGGTCCAGGGCTCGGGCTTTGGGCTCAGATCTCCTGGGGACAGGGTTTGGTCCAGAGCTTTGGATTTGATCAAATCTTATAGTCGAAGGCCAGAAAATTGGAACAAACTTCCCCTCATGCCCTTTAGGTAAGGTATAGGGGATCCCAGCACTAGTTATTTTAAATCTATTTTCCAACTTTCTCTAGGGACTCACTATATAGTCACGGTAAGCCCTAAATCCTAGTCCTCCGCATGAACCTGTGTCTTAAGATTTAGGATGTCGGGGGTTAGAGGCCCAAAACCCGTTACAAGATGTCAAGCCGCACATCATACTTTCCAATTTCCGGTACAGGGTTGAGGGTTTAGGGTGTGGGGTTTAGGGCTTCACGGCTTTGCATGTTGGGCTCAGGGTTCAAGGTTTAGCGCTTGCAGATCAATCCCCAAATGATCCTGTGGATCCGTGCAGCAATGCGACCAGATGGACTCTCTTTGAGAGACGACGATGGCCCGCAGGGACTCAATGGTACTAATTCTGTCACTACGACTGTGTGCTAGGGTATTGTGCCAAACCTACTGATACTCAGGCTACTGTAGCAATGATACCAAACTTGTTTGCAAATCATGGTGTGAGATCAGCAATACAAGCAGGATAACAAGTATGATATCAAGACTGTTGCCATACTGCCATGATCAATAGCACAACATAATGGTAGTACGAACAATGTCATCAGATCATGAAGATCAGAATGATGCGCTTCATAGCGGTAGCATATCACTTCGGTCACTTCTTAAGTTTCTTCTTCTTGCCTGCCCACTTGTCGCCAGTCCACCACTGGAGCGCACCTGAAGAGCGAAGGCGAAGTGTTTAGGGAAAGGGATCTGAAAAATTCCACAAGACAAAGACAACACAAACACACAGCAACAAAGTAATAAAAGTAATACAACCATCTATATGTATGCGTGCGTGCGCTATGTCTATAGAGATATGTAGATGTAAACTGTATATGCATGTGTACCTGCATATATGTGCATATACAAAAACAGATACATGTACATCATAACACTTGAAAACCCTAAACCCGAAACCCTAAATCCTAAACCCTAAACCCTAAACCTAAACCCTAAACCCTAAACCCTAAACCCTAAACCCCAAACCCTAAACCCTAAACCCTAAACCCTAGTAGGACCCAACCCTCGGTGCTTTTCACTCCCAAGGCGCCCTTGTCCCCCTTGCCGCCGACAGCTTTCTGTATCTCCGCCTCAATAGGCCCGATCCTCCGGGGGCAGATCAAAATAGGGGCCTCAATAGGGTTTAGGGTTTAGGGTTTAGGGTTTAGGGTTTAGGGCTTAGGGTTGCTTTAAAGGGTTACTTTAAGGGTTATTACAAGGGTTCTAGAAGGGTATAATCTAGGGGTCTTAATAATTGGAATACGGTGTTGGGGGTGCCTTTAAAATGGTTCCTTACAGTGTTCTACAAGGGTTACTATAAGGGTTTAGGGTTTATATAGGGGCATCCATAACTAGAACAGGTTTGGGGGTATGTTATACTGTAACTAGAATCAGGAACCGCCAAGACCCTCTTCTAATTATTCAGGCTCCTACATGAAAGCTTTACGGCTTTGGGCTTGGGGTTTTAGAGTTTAGGGTTTTAGAGTTTAGGGTTTAGGGTTTAGGGTTTTGGGTTTGGAGTTTAGAGGTTAACAGTAATATACAACTTGTTCGGGTTTAGGGTTTAGGGTTTAGGGTTTAGGGCTTAAGGTTTAGGGTTTAGGGTTTAGGGGGTGTAGTGTCAGTTGTTTCTGATACTGCGGGCCCCTAATATTGCTTCCATAAATCGGGGACCCTTCAATATAGATCCCAACATAGTGCAATCCCCGTTGCAAGGATATAAGGTTCTTGCCATTCATCGAAGTGAATGAAATAACCGATGGAACGGTAATAGATGCAGTGGTCAAGACGATGCTAATGAGACCAATGTGGCTCCCTAAATCTTAAATCAACAACCCCCAAACCACGGCAATACCATGCACTAGACTCCTTATAATCAGGAGAGCCAATACCGCAAGTAAGAAATCCCATATACACATCAACAGTAAGCATAATAGAATGCAATAGAAATGGTTATCATGGCACTTCGCAGAGTACTAAGAATAACGAAACTGAACATGAAAGTATAGCAGCAGAATCGTGGTATGGACAATACCAAAACACAGTGCTAACATGAAGTATAAACGAAACCATGGTCATGACCACAGTAACAAACTGAGACAGAAATGCGCAGCAAAGGGAAGACGAGACACCGTCCGCAGGTAAAGCTTTGGCTGTTTGGTGGTTTACGCAGGAAGCCGCAAAGCCCTGGACCACCCAACCCCTGCTTAAGAGAAGCGGCCTCTAAGACTCTACAGACTCTCCTGAGCCTCTCCTTTGACACAAGCACAAAGCGTGATGACTGCAGTGCTTGAAGATTCAGTTGTTTGAAAGCCTTTCTGGATATTGAGCACGGGGCTTACATTAAACACAGTTTCCAAACAAAACTTCAAAATCCTAAATCCCAAGTCAGGTCTGTCCTGGCCACCGTATTCTTGGCAACTGGGGCCAGGAGCTTGTGGGTCAGACACAGCTTCTCTTCCTCGCGGAAGTTGAGAGTTTGACCCGTCGGCCGAGTCTTGTGTTTAAGTTTCGGGCTGAGACCCTAACCCCAGACTCCTAAACCCTGAAACCTATGGTTGAGGGATTGGGGTTTGGGCCTAGGCTTCGGGTAAGTGTGAACCACATGGGACAGGTATGGGGTTCTGAAACATGTGAGACTACTGTGAATATTCATAATGTTGTTGAGATTAGTGTTGTGAATTTTTCGTTTTAGAAGTTGTTTGTTATGACGACTCTTCATGGTGTTGTTACTGCTATGTTGCCGTAACTGCTGCCATTTGATTTGTTGCTTATATTTGCATTACGTACTCTTGATACATGTTTATGGGATTATGCTATTTATGTGTGTGATATCTATTCAGTTCTTATTTAAGATTGTTCCATTATTATCATCATGGACATTGATGTTATTGTTGATATGTCTGCCAATATTCTCAGAATCAAGGTTGAGATTCGTAAGCAATATAATCGTATGCAATATAACATTAAGATTATCGCTATGAAAAATACAAGTACTAAGAACAAAGCTTACAACAACAATAACAACTCGAAAAGCTAAAAACATGCTATGAGTCAGATTCAGATTCATAGGCTGATCATGCTTGTTATTGTTGTGACGATTGACCTTGCGTTCTTGTCTTGATTCGGGGTCTCAGCCCTAAACCCTAAACCCTAAACTCAGGAGTATAAATGTCATCACAACCATGTCTTTGCTGGTGGGGTTGTTCTGGGGTGTGGGGCTCTGGCGGCTTCGGGGTTGGCTCTTGGTACGGTTTAGGGTTTAGGGTT